GGAATCACTAAATTCAGTTCTTCCATGACCATCTTCATGACATCATCACACCGTGCAAATATTCTCAATGCACATTGATCATCGTAAGGTGTTTTTTGTAAGTCTTTGTTCGAAAGGTGAGAGGTAATTAGAAAAGATAAAGAAAAAGAAATTTGACTCACTAACGATAACCATCTTCTTGTTTCTGGACTTCGATTTCATCGATGGAAGCTCACATGCAGGCGAAACTCGCATCGACGTTCCCATACATAAACTTAAATCACATTTTGCACAAGCTTCATAACTGCAATTTCCATGCAGTTCGACGATTTTGTTTGTTGGTATTCCAGTTTGAGAAACTAAGAATTTCAAACATCCATTTTTCATCAGTTCGACGAAAGTCATATGTGTCAATGTTGGTTTGTGATCTTCAAACACCTGCAGGACCACGAAAATCATTAATATCAGCTGCTATTGATATTCCTAGAGCGCTCATATCCATGTTAAAATGATGCTGTCTTCGAATGAGTAGGTGCGTCATTTACCTGTTCCGGTGTAGATAACATACAGAAAAACTTCAGTGGGCGGATAAAAATATCTCTTTGTACAAAGTTTCTTTTTTGCTTAAATCTTTTATTTTGAATTGAGAAAGAATTAAAAAAGATCACATACACGCCTTTAACGATGTATTCTGATCTCAGTTGACGATTAAGATTTTAAAAAAATCATGTTCATCATAACTTTGCTGAACGTGCTTGTCTTCTATTAACTCATGTAGAATAACTCAAATTTTCTTCTCTACAGTCGTATATGTTTAATATTATAAGAGATCATGACACAAGTTATATTTATTCAAAAGTTTCTTTTCATATTTCTTTTATCTTGGATCGATTGTTCTATTTACATTTATAACGCAAGAAATAGTCCGTCAGTTGAATTTTATGATTGTATTTATTATCAATCTATTCCATATTGTCGTCGTCCGCTGAAACCTATTTCTTTAGAACGAAACAGAAAAGAATGGAATTGTTCTCATAATGGTATAATTCATTCATTCTATTCTTTATGGATGAAAAATATCAGTAT